GAATTAGTCAAGTTTTACTCAGTGTTATTTACATAGATTCACTTATTCATTGTTAAAAACCTAATGTTAGGTTACATTTGTGTGGTCTCTCAAAAATTGCATTCTTAAACTGAATTTGCGAATATTAAAAAGTAAGTATGAAACATGGTTTAAAGGTTGAGACAGAGGGGACTGGAGACATTTTGGTGGAGAGCGTGCTGCACACGCAAGTCGCAGGCTCGCCCAGACACTCCCAGGCCGTCGCCTGACCAGGCCAGGCCGGCTCTGCATCGGACCCTCTCCCTGCCACCCCTCCACCACCTTCCGCATTTCCCAGCCCCACACGGTCCCCTCCCCAGTGAACACTACTCTGGCCTCAGCTGTGGCTAGAGCCAGAATGAACAGACCCTCCAAGGGACTTAGTAATACGAGTGAAGAGTGCACGCGACCACCAGGTTTGTAGCATTTAACAGGAAGCAAGATGCAGATGGAACGCTGGGTCTCCCTGACAACAGACAACTTCAACAACGGTGTCCAATAAGGCCAAGTGCTAGCAAGGATGGGTAATGAGATAGCCTGCTTTGTCCATTTCATAGTCTAAATTGTACTCTTTAACCAAGGGTACTTTAGCCATTTCTTGTAGTATAGTTTATTCATCACCAGGTTTAAAGTAAACAATAGAATAAAAAGCATAATTAAGTTTATTTATTTTTTTTAAAGAGTTCACTTTTTTTTTTAAAGATTTTATTTATTTATTTGAGAGAGAGAATGAGAGAGAGAGAGAGAGAGCACATGAAAGGGGGGAGGGTCAGAGGGAGAAGCAGACTCCCTGCTGAGCAGGGAGCCCGATGCCGGACTCGATCCTGGGACTCCAGTATCATGACCTGAGCCAAAGGCCGTCGCTTAACCAACTGAGCCACCCAGGCGCCCCATAATTAAGTTTAGCCCAAAACCGCCTTAAGAGAGACTTGGACGAGCAGCTGGAGAGATGCTTGGCTCAGAGATAGTGCTGTTTGTTTTTTTTGTTTGTTTTGTTTGTTTTTTTTACGATTTTATTTATTTATTTGACACAGAGAGAGAGAGAGAGAGCACGCATGAGCCCGGGGAGAGAGAGAAGGAGAAGCAGACTGCCTACTGAGCAGGGAGTCCAATGCGGGGCTCAATCCCAGAATCCTGGGATCATGACCTGAGCCAAAGGCAGCCGTTTAGCTGAGCCACCCAGGTGCCCCTGCTGTTTGTTTTATTAACTTGTACCTATCGCTCTGCCTGACCCATGTTTGATACAGTCTTGAAAGAGAGAGAGAAGAGACAGAAATATTGAGACAGAGCATTGGACTCTGTCCCCATGACACCAAATCAAGAACTGCCTCCTTCTACATCTTTTGCCACCACCTGGGTGATGCTGGTGGCAGAAGACAGAGTGGAGTGGCTTCTGTGGCAGAATGACGTTGCGATGCAAACAGCTCTGATGACGTTTCCTTGAGTGGCGCCTGTCACCTGCAAAGCCACTTCTGTTCTCCATCACACCCTAGTCCTAAGATGGCCACCTAGAATAAATCATCTGAAACCCACATGTCATCACAGATGGGGGAGGGTGAGGACTGTAGTGATAAATGACAATGTCTTCGCAGCAAGTTCGAAAGCCACAGTTTAAGTGAATAGAAATGCTTTTGTCCGATGAACTTTGTTTTTGTAGAGTTTACCTCCAATAAAATGGCCCCATTTTAAGTCTATAGCTCAAGAGTGTTTGACAAATGTTATGCACCTATGTAATCACCACCACAGTCAAGATATAGAACATTGCATCACTCCAGAAAGTTCCTTGTGCCCTTCCCTGGAAATACCCACAGGAAATCTTTTTATTTTTTAAGGCATAGAACATCTATTTGAACATTTTAAAATTGAAGTAGCATAAAAAGGAATCTGTTCACTTGCCAAAAACAATATTTAGATCTTAAATTCCTAATGTAAAATCAGGTAACACTTCTTGAAGTATAGTTTTAGCACAGACTAGCTACTAATGAGAAGCCATAGCCATAGTCCTTTTGAACCTAGCTAACATTTGAAGTGTAGCATTCGCCCAAAAATCTGAGTGGGAAAGGGGTGTTTTAACCTACTTGACATATTCTGAAGTTATAAAGGTCTCCCACTACGGCTACATGGTAGGTCACTCACATGGGTGAGAGGGTTGGGAGAGGGAGGAACCAGAAATGGAAAGAAAAAAGACTTCACTTAAAATAAATATCATTTATATATTTATTTAAAATTATATATATATATATGTGTGTGGAAATTGAATTTAAAATACAAAAAAAAATAATTTCAGGGGCACCTCAATTCTTGCAAAAATTTTAAAAGTTTCCTAGTGAATTCCCCTCAAAACATTTATTGTTTTATGTCACATCAAATAATTTTCCCATCCCTCTTAAAAAATAAAAACAAACTACAATCTAGAACAGATTATTGACTGATAGAAATAGAGTCTGGGATTTGGAGTGAAAAGTGCTTTCTCAGCCTGCACCTAAACATTCTGCTCTGAAAGTGCTTCCCTCCCTACTTCTCCACAAATCAATAATAGATCAGGCAAGAACTTTCTCTGCTGCTACTTTCTAAGAGATGCAGAGAATTGGGCAAGTCAGGAACCCAACGAGAATTCCTGATCCCAAACCCCGTATCCATCTCTGTCAGGTGCAGTCTGTGAAAACATTCTGGAATGAGAAGGCACTTTCAGCCTTCTGGCTTGAAAGGGCTGCAGCTAAGAGATCCTAGTGATTTCTAGTATAACTTCTTAAGAAAATGTTAAAATTGATGCACATCATTAGAAAATGAAATTATGGCTACAATTTTATCCCCAAACTGACATTGGTAAGGAAATTGAGGAGGAAAAAAAGCCACAATTGCACAACAAAAGAAGACTTGCCTTAGTCACTTTTTTAAATATAAAAACAATTCATGCTAATAAAAATATGGCAAACTAGAGAGAAGAAAAAAAATTATGCAAAATTCTACCTCCCAAAAAGCTCTGATAAAATTTCTTTCGGAATTTTTCTTAACATAGTTGAAATCAAACTGTATATAACATTTTGTATCACAATTTCCCACTTAACAATTATAATGTGTACATTTTATATATCATAAATAATTATTAATAAATTTTTTAATGGTTGTCATAAATAAGTCCAACAAAAGTAATACTCTTACATTTCCCCAGTGTTGGACAATTAAGCTGGTTCCAATTTTTTGTTAACACTGTGGTCAATATGTTTGTATATAAGTCTTTTTCTGTATTTTGGGATATTTCCCTAGAATATATTTTAAGATGTACAGTCTCTGCGTTTGGGTATAAAAGTATTACATCTCTTGTGACATATTTTCAATTTGCTTTACAAAAATCTAATAGTCTCTTTTTAGGGCAACTTGACAGTGTGTATCAAGATCCTCATAAATATTCCAAACCTTTGTTCCATTATTTTCTTAGAAATATATAAAATGGTTTTGTTTAAAATATTATTGCAGGGCGCCTGGGTGGCTCAGTTGGTTAAGCGACTGCCTTCGGCTCAGGTCATGATCCTGGAGTCCCGGGATCGAGTCCCGCATCGGGCTCCCTGCTCAGCAGGGAGTCTGTTTCTCCCTCTGACCCTCTTCCCTCTCGTGCTCTCTATCTCTCATTCTCTCTCTCTCAAATAAATAAATAAAATCTTTAAAAAAATAAATAAATAAAATAAAATAAAATATTATTGCAGTATTATTTCCATTACCAAGAAAGTTGGTCACAATCTAAATGTTCCCTGCTGTATACCTTGGTGTATATATATATATATTTTTTTTTTTTTACATACAGTGCAGATTGAGTAGAACATTTAAAGCATAAAATAGAGACACCCCAATTCTTACAAAATAATTTTTCAAGGCTTATTTTTTGTCTATTTTGTTTGAAAAGAAAAACTGACTAATTTTTCAGGCTGGGTTTTAACATTTAAACACATCCACAGCACTCCAGGACTCAGTAAATACTTACTATGTGACCACCCAGCTCTCATCACCTACAGGGTACATTCCAAACTCCCCAAATGCCCGCAAAGATACAACACCCCTCGGCATCTGGCTTCTACTCACCTATCCAGCCTCAGCTGTGATTATCAGGGAATAGGCCTCCCCGTTCCCGCCACTCTGTCCTCCTGGCCATGGGGATGGGCATTCACTGAGCAGAAACATACTTCATCCAGTCAATGGGGGCAATTGCTACAGGGCCGCAAGACTCCCCTTAGGTGTCACTTCTTCCAAGAAGTCTTCTGTTTCCTCCTTCCCTGCAGGCTGCTTGTCCTTCCTCTGGGCTGCCACGATGCCTATGCCTTTGCTAGTCTCGATAATTGTACTGATCACACTTCCTCTTGAATGCCTGGGTACTTATTGCACACTCCCTTTTCGAATGTCTGTGAGGGCAGAATTTTTTTTCCTGTTTTGCTCATCGCTGTAGGCCGGGTGTCCAGAAAAGTACTTAGAGGTACCCAAGCAATGTTCAAATGTTTATATGACTGACTGACAGAATAAATGAGTGAATGAATGATTGAAGAGATTCAGCAGAAAACCTGAGTATCTAAAACACAAGGTGTCTGGCAAGGGGCAGAAGTATGCCGAAAAGGATGAAGATATCGAGAGAGTTCAAAGTTAAGGATCCAGGCCAGGTAGAAAAAACATACACTTGTTTCTGAAAACACTGCTATATGACTTTGAAAAAATTCCTCAGTTTGCACCTATGAAATAGGATATTATACTCATTTGGTTGTTGTGAGAATTAACTGAACTATGGATATAAATACACACAGAGAGAGCCTTGTGTGTCGTAAGCATCCTGTCAAGGTTTGACCTTTTTCTTATCCCCTTACATTATCGTTTTGTCTAGTTATTCTAGATCTAGGAAATACTGATCACAAATTTCTAAGAAAAAATGCCCTGGACAAAATTATTTTTACTGTAATTTTTTCAAAGATAAATCATTCTAGAAGAAGGGCAGAGGGAAGATGGCCAAACTCTTAACAAGCTTAGGCATCATAACTGTAAGGAGATGTGCCTATGTGACCCATATTGCAAGTGGGGGCCCCAGAGGTTACTCAGAGGTGAGTTTTGTACAGAACAGAATCTTACATATTTTAGTGATGGGGCAAAGAAATATTCCCAGAGCACAGGAAAACTTCTCTTATGGGTTTCATTACCCTTTCTATTGATGAGACAAACACATACAATATTAAATTCTGTCCTAGAGCCATTTGGCTAAATGTGTAGATGTCTAGGGCCAAAAATACATTCATTGATTTTAGGATTCGACTCTATTAATATACTTTTCAAACAGATATTTCTGTTCACCTTGAAGTGCTGGTGCTCATGTTCAGCGGGATGGTTGGGAACTCTGGTCTTACTATACAACAAAAATGAGCTCCTCGAGATCATGAGGACCGCAAATGGGATGATTGCCCACCACAGCCCGTTCCTGGTGAGCTGACACTATCAGGGATGTTGAGCTGACTTATCTAGAGCAGACTGCTGGATCCACAAACCTCACTCAGGGCCTCCCGGGCAGACTGAGAAACGTCCCCACAGCAAAAGAGATTTTTGTTGAGAAATGGAATTAGAATAGGATTAGAGCAACAAGAATAAATATTCTGCTGCCAGTATCATAAAGATTCTTTAATTTAACAATGAGCACAAGCTTTATTGCTTCCACAAAAATTCATGGTTCCTATATGTGGCAGCAATACAATTAGTTGTCACTCAAATTGTCATTGTCTTGGAATTATTAGCTTACCTACTTATGTACTGCATCATCAGCCATGTGGGATTTTGTCAGTATCTTCAGTGGTTGTGTTTTGCTTTTGTTTGTTTGAGACTCTGTTTATTTGTGTGAATATGTGTGATACAAAGATGTATCCACTTACCCTGAGTGTGTTTTCCCCCTTGGCATTTTATGTCATTGCAATCATCAAAGTTCCTATATTTTAAGGTATTGCACTTCTTAATTTGGTTAGTCAATTTACTGGGCTGCTATTGACCAAAGCCAGATAAAGGTCAGTGGGAATAATAGGCAGGAAACAGAGCTAAGGGAGGTGGGAATTCACCATAGCAGCTTGGCTACAATTAGGTGTCTGGGGAGAAGGTGGTTGTTCACAGGTAGGGGAGACAGAGGGAGACAGAAGGGGTAACAGAAAACCAAAGAATGGAAAAAGGGAGCCTTGCGGGCATGTGGAAGGAGGAGGCGTAGACGACACAAACACAAGGTAGGAACGAGAGCAAATTCCTGGTGGACACCTGAGGGCAGACTTCCTGGTAGGATGTGGCTTGGCCTTGGGGGAGATGCAGATGGTAATTAGGACCTGAGGCAGTTGTTTCAAAAGGAGAAATCTCCAGCACTGCTACCAGGTAGGAAAATTCACACAGACACAAGATCTAAGGCAAAGATAGAGGGAGGCACGGTGGACTAGATGGATGGCTGCATGGGCAGATGGGCAGGCAGGTGGATGAACAGACAGATGGACAGTTAGATGATTGTTTATGGGAATACAGTAGCAATTTTTAAGATCAAAGAGGTCCACTGACCAAAATTATGTTCTCTGTAGGACTTTAGGAACACCAACATTAGAAATTAGTTCCTTTTGAGTATTTCACTGTGGGGTGCTTGGATCTCTGGATCAAAATGAGCTTGTTTATCAACTAGTTGGGGTGGGGCATAGGAATTTATGGCTTAAGAAGCTCTCCCCCAGTGAGTTTCATATACACCAGTGTTTGAAATGCCTGAACTAAGGCATCATCCCTTGTCCAGTGTAAAGTCCATATTGGATTAATCAGATCCTTTTTTTTAAGATTTTATTTATTTATTTGAGAGAGAGAGAGAAAGCAAGCAGTGGGGAGGGGCAGAGGGAGAGAGAGAGAGAGAGAGAGAGAGAGAATGGGAGAAGCAGGCTCCCTGCTGAGCAGGAAGCCTGAGCTTGATCCCAGGACCTGGGTCCATGACCTGAGCTGAAGGCAGACACTTAACAGACTGAACCACCCAGGCGCCCCTAATCAGATCCTTCCTAACAGACACCGGTGGAAAGTCAGACAGCAAGAGAATGGGACAAGAAATATTTGGTGGTGGAGAGAGAGAGGTCTTTTCTCTTTCCAAGTGCCTGTGCAGGGTACTAGGCAGGAAGAGCCCCTGGAAGTGTTCTGAGGGCTGTTAGGGCAGCAGAGAGAAGAGTCAAACCACAGGGAATGCCACTCAGACCTTAGGAACTACCAGTCATGCGTTTTTTAAGGTTCAAGTAAAATGCCAACTCCTTCAACAATTTATGCCACATTCATCAACCCAGAGGGGAGTCACCTATATTTCTGCATTCCTCTGTAGAATGTTGTCTATACATCCTGATGGCCTTCATTTATGCATTCATTTAACAAATACTTATTGAGCACTTACCATGTGCCAGACACTGTTCTAAGCATTGAGGAAGAGCAGTAAACAAGAGTCAAAAATTTCTGCCCTTGTGGAGTTTAGATTCTAATAGGAAAAGCAACAAGAAAGGTAAAATGTGTACGATACAGATAAATACTGAGGGGGAAATGCAGCAGGAGACAGTAATATGAAGTATGTAGTTTTATTTTTTTAATTTTTATAAAGATTTTATTTATTTATTTGAGAGAGAGAGAAAGAGTATAGGTGAGGCAGAGCAGAGGGAGAAGCAGACTCCCCGCTGAGTGTGGAGCCTGATGTGGGGCCTGATGTGGGGCCCCATGGATCCCGGGATCATGACGAATTCAGTAAAGTTGCAGGATACATAATCAATGTACATAAATCTGCTGCATTTCTCTAGACCACTAATGAAGCGGCAGAAAGAGAAATCAAGGATTTGATCCCATTTACAAGTGCACCAAAAACCATAAGATACCTAGGAATAAATGTAACCAGCGGTGAAAGACCCGTGCTCCGAAAATCATGAAACACTGATGAAAGAAATTGAAGATGGCACAGAGAAATGGACAGACATTCCATGCTCATGGATTGGAAGAACAAATATTCTTAAATGTCTATAGTACCCCAAGCAATCTACACATTTAATTCCACCCCTATCAAAATACCGCCAGCACTTGTCACAGGTCACGTAAGCAGAGGCAACAGTAAGATCAAAAGCACTGAGGCAAGAGCCCGACAGGGTGTTGGAGGGGTACACCAAGGCAGCCTCTGTGGCTGGAGGAAAGTAAGAAAGTAAAAGAGAAGTAAGAGATGAGGTCAGATGGCTGCTGGAGGACTCTATCACATACGCCTCAGAAAGATTTTGTGGATATTACAAAGGGCTCATCTTTTACAAGACGGAAAACTATTGAAGGATTTTGAGCAGACGAGTTTCTTGATCACTCTTTGACAACATCACTGGCTGTTTCGTTGAGAATAATTTCCGGGTGGCAAGTTTGGCAGAAGGGAGACTGGTTTTAGAAAGCCATTGCAATAGTCCAGCAGAAAAACAGCAGTAGTTTGGACCCGTGGGGCAGCACAGGAAGCAATGAGAAGTGATCCATTCTGGATATTTTTTTAAGGCGGGGCAAAACTTGCGTTTGAAAGGAAAAGAGAAGCAAAGGAAAATTCCAAGGCTTGGGGTCCAAGCAACTGGAAAAAGCTGTTGCCATTTACTGTGGTAGGGGAGGCTGTATGGGTGGCAGCCCTGGGGGAAAGGGGACCTGAGGGATCACTGGCTTATAACCGTGAGCTTAGGTGAGCTCGTCAAGGGGATGAGTGTCAAAGTGCAAGGACTGAGCTCTGGGGCACAACACTCTCAGGTAGGGCGATCAGCTTTTCTGGTTTGCTCAAGGCTGATTCACAGGACATGGGACTGTCAGGAAAGCTCTGAGAATACTGAAACCATTGATCCACTATTGAGAGGTGAGGGAGATGAATGAGAAGCCCATGAGAAAGAATAGCAGAGCCCTGGGAGACGCATTGCCCTGGCAGCCAAGTAAGGAACAAGCTTCAAGGAAAAGACAGCCCTCAACTATGTCAAATGCTGCTGATGGGGCAAGTGACAGGAAGACGGAGAGCTGACCTCTGGACATACAACAGAGAAGTCACAGGGGACTCTGACAAGGGCAGTTTTAGGGGAAAGTGCCTGGGACAGAAAGCCGGATTCCGGTGATTCGAGAGCATCTTAGTCTGCCCAGGGTGCTCTAACAAAATACCATAGTCTGTGCGGCAGAAATGACAGAAATTAATTTCTCACAGTTCTGGAAGCTGGTAAGTCCAAGATCAAAGTGCTGACAGATTCTGTTCCTGGTGAGGACCCTCCACCTGGCTTCTCATTATGTCCTCACTTACCTCAGAGTGTGTGTGCACAGAGACAGAGAGAGACTGCGATCCCTTTCTCTAAGGCCATCCATCCTATCAGGTTAGGACCTCACCCTTATGATTTCATTTAACCTTAATTACCTCCTAAAAGAACTTATCTCCAAATATGGTCACATTCAGGGTTAAGGCATCAGCAATATGGGAGGCGGGTACAATGTAGACCATAGCAAACAGAGAAATTAGAAAGAGAAAAATAAGAACAAGCCTTTCAGGGAGTTTTCCAGTGCAGAAAAGGGGGCAAAAGTGGTAGTTGAAAGGATATATAGGAGCAAAAGAAAGTTGTTTGTTCTAAGATGGGTAGAAGGAAAATAAAAACGTGTGTGTACGCCGATGGCAATGATCTAGCAAAGAGGGAAGAGGGGCCCTTGAATAGTTGAGAGGGAGTCGGGCCTAAGGACAACTGGGAGATGGGCCTAAACAAGGAACACAGATAGTTCATTGTTGAAGCAGGAGCGGAGACAAAATTTAGGGACAGAGATGCACGTAGGTCTATAGACGTAGCGTGTGGACTCATCAGAATTCTGATAATTTCTGTTTTCTTGGTCAAATGGAAAGGAAAGGTCATGAGCTGAGAGTGAGGATGGGAGCAACTGTTGGCCGTTTGAGGGCTGAGGGAAAGTAGGACCATCATCTAGGAGAGGAGGAGAGTCCTGCACAAAGGAAATGTGATATAATTGCCAGGGAGCATTAAGGACTCAGAGTTGAGCACTCCTTCAGAATGGAAGTCGAACACTCACACCTTAGCAGAATCCAGTATGGTTATCCCAGGAGGGCTGGTACACAAGGCTAAGGGTTAGCCGACTTGGGGACTAGTCAGTCAGGGTTTCACCATTCACTTATGTACATCACTTCATCTCATCTCAAGCCTTCTTGTATTTTTATCTGTAAAACTGGGATATTTGTGTCTGCACTGCCTTCCTTGGAAGAATCATGAGATGGAAACTGAGGAATATCTTCTAAAATGTTAAGTGTTAAACACATCAGAGATTACTAGAAGACTAAAGCAGGTAAAACTGGAATAGCATGATGAAAGGTCCTCAGGTCCAAATGAGGTCTTTCCAGGAAGGATGGCCTAATGGCACTCCAGATAACAGGTTGGAGGTGACATACAGGAAAAGGAAGTTGAACAGGACACACTCTGCCAACGACTACTGGTTGCTGTGGCCCAGGGCTGGTTGAAGCTAGTTAGCTGAGGACATGGCACTCCACAGACACCCAGGATCGGGGCTGCCCCTAGTGCATGTACGCTTTCTGTGGTGAGTTAGAAATGGGCGCCCCCTTGCCTGGGTGGCTCAGTCAGTTAAGCGGCCAACTCTGAATTTCGGCTTAGGTCATGATCTCGGGGTCGTGGGATTGAGCCCCAAGTTGGGCTCTGTGCTGAGCTGAGCTCGGAGTTTGCTTGTCCCTCTCCCTCTGCTCCCCCCAAAACCCCCTCTCTCGTGTGCTCTCTCTCTCTCTCAAATAAATAATCTTAAAACCTTAGGGAAAAAAAAAAAAAGAAATAGGTGCCCCTTCCTCAAGACCCTTTACTTCCACATCTCAGAAAACTGTCCCAACATACTTAGCTTGTTAGAATAAGATATTTTCTTGACATACACCTGAAAACTTGTAACAAATATGAAAATCTAGAGTGCTATTGTGTGAAAGGCGCCCCCTGGGGCTGTGGAGTGCACAACACACAGCAGTTGTCTCAGCTGAACCTCAACACTCACCAAACCCTTACTGACCACCACCTCATGCCTATATTTAAAGTAATATCAGAATATAATGTCGTTTTTAAGGTTTCAAGATCAAAATTGAACATTATTGGCCTTTGTGCTTTAGGCTCTATTCTTGGTAGGCCTGGATTAGAAGAGGTCTTGGAAGATTGCTGACGTCCAGGAAGGATTTTACATATGCATTCAGCAGGGGGGAATCCAATGGTACAAATATGTTATGTGCACTGTTCGAGCAACCATTTAGAGAACAAAGAAGTTAGATTCTCATTTCACTGGAGTCCATTTTTCTAGCCAAATGCTGTGACCTAGAAGCTGAATTTGAGGAGAGAGAGAGAGAGAAACAAGAAGTTTCTTAGCAAGGTCAAATACAGTTTTCCTTTCTCACACAGACCCTGTATCCATTTCTTGGATAATTGCCACCTTGTGAAATAATCACTAATAATAGCTACCTTTTAGTGGATTCCCAGCCTGGCACTCAGCTGAGCACTTTAAGTGGACCATTGCATTTAATCCTCTCAACCACCTTAGGAGATCAATATTATTCACTCACTTTGCAGATGAGAAAACTGAGTCTTGAAGAAGTGAGGCAATTTTGCCCAAAGTAAATAGCCAGTTGGTTGAGGAGTCAGGGTTCCAACCCACTCTCCTGGTATCCATGGTCACTTGCTGTCACTCACGGTGTGCCAGTCCCCCATGATGCTTGATAAAATGATGACCAGGATGGTGTAATGAGCCTTTTGGACAGCTTACAAACCACGAAATACTGTATTTCTAAGTTTTGTGGGGTTTTTTGTTGTTGTTTTGTTTTTTATTTGACAGAGAGAGACACAGCGAGAGCAGGAACACAAGTAGGGAGAGTGGGAGAGGGAGAAGCAGGCCCCCCGCCGAGCAGGGAGCCTGATGTGGGGCTCGATCCCAGGACCCCAGGACCACAACCCGAGCCAAAGGCAGATGCCCAACGACTGAGCCACCCAGGCACCCCTGTTATTTCTAAGTTTTAAGAGCTCAGCTTAACATTAGAAGACATACTGCTGAAGCCAAAAATCACGGGCAGTATTTATCTGTGGGATCTAAGTTTGTCATTTGGCATCCTGAACATTACGTGTCCCCAGAGCAAGGCAAACCTGGCACCATACTTTGAAAAATAACTCAACCAATAATATAATTTCTGTATATGAGGGCCCCGTAGCATTACCAAAATCTGCAGATTCCAATTATAGAACTCAGGAAAATATTTCAGAGCTGAAACAATCAACATCTTTTTGGCCAAGTAACTGGACAAAATTTTCTCTACAAAGCCAAAGTTCAATATTTTAATTCAGTTAAAGCCCCGGACCCAGGACACCTGTCATTATTGCATTCTTTGTGAGACTCCCTCTAGTGGCCCACAAGAGTTAGCTTCCTGAACGAGCACACTTGGACGAAGATTGGGGAGTTCCGTGGCAGTTCATTCTCTTTGTCTAATTTGATGGAAACTGGTCTCCTATCAAATGTGAAGGTGAAATCAGGGGAAGGGTGTGAAATGTCAGCCTAAACATCCCCCCACCCCCTCCCAATGGGACCAGGAGGTGAAGGACCTAGTGATTTTACGACAATGAGCACTAAGAAAAACCCTTGAAGCTCTGAAATCCCAGGGACTTGACCTAAAGTGTGAGGGCCAACCCCATTGACATCACAGATCTTTCCTGTGGTCACAATGGTACTGAGCCACCCTGGGAAGATGCCCCAGAAACACAAAGACTTTAGTCAGATGGCAACCAAGTTTCCTTAGAGCTTTGGCTTTCTGAAAGACAAAATAAAAAACTATCTGCTCCCTTTCAAAAAAGTCAAATCAACAAAAAATCAAAAAGCCAGGAAATCAAGCATCATGAGCTCAGGTATTTATCTCATGGATTATTCAAAGTCTCTAAGTTCTCATTCTTGACGACCTTACCTGTATTTCTTACTACATATAAACAAGGTATTAAACCCCAAAGGAGATCCTTGGATGGCTTGGGCACGATAGAGTAAGAAATCATTTCCTATTATTTTATAACACTTTGATCTAAGTGGATGCATCTCAACAAAGTTTCCTAATGTCTAATGGAAGTACCTGGGATTATAAATTCTTCTAGCTGACTATGGGTGTGATGAATTAATGAACTAATGTAGGGGAGGACAGAAGAGGGGAGCGTAAAATAAATTAGAAGCCTCCCTTAACCTTCACCGTATGTACAGAAACTGTCCTTAATTAAAAAAAAAAAAATTAACCACCAGGGCAAAAATCCACTTGCCTTAGTTCCTGATCTGATTCAGCATTCTGGTTGCCTAGTTACAGATGTAAACAAAAGTGCCTCCCTGGCTGCAGAGGAACAGCCGAAGGAAACTGATGGCCCCCTTCCTGGCTCAGTCAATGACCAAGAAAAGAAAGCAAGTACTTTTAGCCATTCATACTAAAAATAGAATATTTTGCTCAGCTTCTTTAAAGCTTAGCGTTGTTCAGAGAGTTCTAAGGAGTCTTAGAAGAGTTGTTTTTCTTCTTGCTCTACGTACATTTCTTGTTTGTTCTGCTTTGACAAAGTGACTGGTGACCACACAAGCTGAAAAGAGAAAGGGTCTCAATATGTGAATACATTCATTGGACTGACTTTTAATATGCAGGGCTAAATATGAACACAAATTTGATCATTATTTTTTATAAAGATTCAAAAGAAACTATGATAAAGGCACGATAGAGACTTTATCTCTAACATGAAAAAGAGAATAGCTAAATAGGTTTCTTTTATTGGTACTTGTCATCAGTGAAAAAGAACATTCAAAGAAGCAGTATTTTTAGACCTCACCAGGGGATGCAGCCTCTGGTGATGGAAAGAGCACTGGAAAGCTAGCACAGTATCAAGCACTGGATTTTGGTTTCTGTTGGCTGTAGCACCCACTGGCTGTGTGACTTCCAGCAATTACTTAACCTCTCTGTTTCCTCCTCTGTGAATTGGGCTAATTAGGCCTGTCATCCAAAGATGTGAGGTTTGAATGAACCACTAAGATAAAGAGTTTAGTAAGTAAGAGAGACTCGGTCAATCGTTAGAATATGATTATTATTATCATCATCTATATGATCTTGAGGAAGTCTGCTACTTCTCTAATCCTCAGATTCCTTGCCTATAAAAATGATCATCTTAAATTCTTTCTGCAATAAGGTAGGATTTCAGTAAAGACAATGATTCCCACCTTATAGGGCATTATATATGTGAAAGTATTTTATAGGCTTCAGTTAAGCCATAAAGGAACACAACATTTTAAAGTATTGTTATAGAACAGGTGAAAACTGACACATGTAAAAAGTCCATGAAGAGCCACTGACTTGTTTGTGAGAATTGTTATATAATTTCAGCCTAGCTTGTAGGAATACAGATGAAGCAGAGCTGCCTCCTATACGCAGTTAGCAAAGATAGAAAAATTTACATATAAACTTATGTTAGATACATCAAAATTTGCATACAAGAGGAAACAAACAGGCTGCAACGTTAACAGCTTTTGCTCTCTGTAGGTAGTACAATTACAATGAGAATTTCTTTTTTCTGTCTTTTACTTTTCTATATTTTTCCAAATTTTCCTCCATTATCAGATCTAACGTGTTACTTTAAAAGTATGTGAGTTGTAGCTGTGTTTTTGAGAGGATGCTATTTATGGTCTTCAACATAAGACTTAAAAATAACATAAAAGTGAAAGATATATCCAACTGTTTCTCTTAAGAAGGGGGAAGGAGACAATCACCTAGTAATTCAGTGTCCTTGGACACAATATTCACAGTCTTTCATTCCACAAAAGGGAATGAAAGGGCTCCTAGGTGCCAAACATGGAAGGCCAGGGAGCAGCCAGTTGCTGAGGGAATACCACAGGCAGACCAGGCCAGGGTCACCATGGAGAGGTGAGAAGAAAGAGCAGCACTGAGTAGGCCAGCAGCCCAGGGTCCAGCTCTGTTCCAGCTCGAACCTGGAGTCAAAACACAGAGCAGGGCAGAAGGCCAGTCATGTTCTGTAGGTAGTTAGGATGGTTTCCATAACATGGACCCCTGGGTGCCCAGTGGATCAGTGTACCCATCCTCTAGAGGAAGACCTGGCTTCAGAGCCTCAGATCCTACTCAGCAATGGGGAGAGAGGGCCTAAAGCATGATCATGGCAGTCACTGGCTCCATTATGAGCAAACTTAAGCCGTGCTGGGTGTCCACCGCCAAGTGGGCAGGGTTAGGAGAGCCTATTGTCAGGCGGTCTTTATTAGCTTCCTTGATAATAAACTCACTTTTTTTTTTTTTTAAGTTTTACTGGAGGAGAGAGCTTTCCACTTAAGTCTCTTGGGTGTTAATTAAGAAGTAAGACATGGTAGTTTTGCAAAAGGAATGATTTCTGTTTGTGGGTCTTACCTACTCTGCTCACCATGATCGTATACAATAACATAAACTAAGACAAATATCCCAGGAAACTATTTTGTTTAAGTTTTAAACTGAGGCGAAATACCACTCATACTCTCCCGATTGAATCCAGTTCAGTGATGGGCTATTAAAATGAGCATAAGTCTGTGTCCTGTTTTTGATCTTAAAAATAAAGAACATTAGAGTTTAAAACAGTTTTAGCATATGTCAAACAGTGAGTGCATTTGGCAGTCTCTTTCCTCCGAGAAATGCTCTTAAATTATGAACTTTGGTACAAGGGGAACTTTCTAGTAGCACTATGTTATTGGATTAGTTAAGTTCATATGGCCAGCTATGTTAAACACTTGTAAGTTATGTACAAAACTGTGCTCTGCTTTCATTTCTCATTGACTGTAATAATCTGACATCCAGTTTTCATAGAAAACAAAATTACCTGGACAGACTAGATTTCTAGTTTGGGACTTCATTTTTGAAAACTAGTTGTTTCCCCTCAGAAATTAGCTTGTTGGAGTAAATTCATTCTGTGAGAACTCCTTTAGTAACTCATCCAATAATCATTGGATATTTCACTTAAAATTTTTCTAAGAATAATCCATGGCTTTGAATTGTCCAAAAAGTTTTTCCTGTGATACCAATCTATGAAATGAAGCTCTCTAACTTGATTTTGGTTTTAGTCTCTAGAAATACAGATGGAGCATGTGTAAGTTTAACTGGGCTGATGGTCTATAGTATATATTTTGTTTAAAATTAAAATATTTATATAAAAATAAGATTGGTAAGACTTACCTATAAAGTAGCTGATGATACATTTTAAACCCATGACCTTTGTTTTAGGTAAGATTATCTCCTGCCACAATGTCAACCAAGAATTCTACAGATCTAGTTCAGTATGTTGACACGTAAGTCTGTAAATTGCAACCCATTTCAACTATTTACTATATTTAATGATTCAGCTAAAGATTAAAGTGCCTAAGATCTTTGAGTTCATATAAATGGATTCTCTGCTTTCAGAAGAGACTGCATAAGCAACTTCAGAAGATGACCCTCCCTATGCTATTCTTTTCTCTTTGACCAAACAAGCCCATTTTATAGCCTCCTCTTTAAGTAACTTCCATAGGTTCCTATAGATTATGAATCATACAACATAGGCAATGAATGACATATGAAAAGATCACATAGAGTTAACTATGACTTTCAAAATACACCAAATAAATCTATTAACATTTTGTTATAAAAACTCAGAAATTTTTAAGTATATTAAATGAATCATCAGAAAATTCTGTTTCTGCTGCTTACAGTGCCACACCTGGACCTCATCCAGGGAAGGTCTGCAGAAGAGGGACAACTCTGTGGGCATGGGAATATGACACATTATTGATACATATACAGTGTCCAAAAGACCCTTGAATTCCAGTTGGTAAAGGTGGCATCACAGAGGCAATGCATATTCAATTGAGTTGTTTTCTATTTTGCATGTCGAGGGAGGATTTGGTCTGAGGCAACAATTAATGTTTTTAGGGCACTTGGGATTTCATCTCTATATGACCTCAGTCAGTCCCATAATGTCTCTTGGCTTTGGTTCTTTCATTTGCCGAACAAAGAGGTTAGATTAGAAGATCCCTCGGACCCACTGTAACTTTAAAATGATTCTAATCCTGGGGCATCTGGGTGGCTTAGTTGGTTAAGGACCTGCCTTTGGCTCAGGTCCTGATCCTGGAATTCTAAGATGAAGCCCTGCATTGGGCTCCCTGCTCAGTGGAGAGTCTGCTTCTCCCTCTGCCCTCACCCCCCTCATGCCCCCCCCTCAAATAAATAAATAAATAAGATTTTTAAAAAATAAGATAAAATAATTCTGATCCTAAAATATATATTATGACCACAGAAGAAATTTAGCAAACGAATGAAATGAGTCAATGAGAAGAGAAAAATCTAAATACTGGATTTTTATTTTTTATATTACCTTTAACAATGAAGATGATAAAAATTTTAAACTCACAGATTTTTATTACAATCTGTTCACAATTAAGAGTTTCCCTGATCCTTAGCCAATTGAATTAGCACACCACAAATACTTCAGCCACAGTATTTCAGCCCCTCTTTTCATGCTGCCCATAACTTGTGTTTGCTTATATGACAATAAGGCCATAATTTAGGGAAAATGAAACCAAACAAAGGAAAAGGATTTTTTTAATGTTTAAAAATACAACTGAGGGTTCTAGAGGGGAGGGGGTGGGGGATGGGTTAGCCTGGTGATTGGTATTAAAGAGGGCACGTATTGGATGGAGCACTGGGTGTTATACGCAATCACCGAATCATGGAACACTACATCAAAAACTAACGATGTAATGTATGGTGACTAACATAACATAATAAAATAAAAAAAATACAGTATTTTAATGTTTAAAAATACAATTCGGATCAGTGACTTTTTTCTGAGTGAAGGACAGTGAATGTGGTAGGCATAGAAATAATTATTTTACATGGATATATTAGCTAACCTTGCCATCCGAGGCAGAAAGGGAGACTTGTTCCTACCTGAATCCACACATGCTAAATGGAAAATAGAAATTATTCTTCTGATCTGTCAAATTCCAAGATGAACCCAAGTGGATTTCTTTAGCCCAGGCTGCTGACCTATATCCCGGGAGATGACAGAACAAATTCCTGGAAGACAGTGACAATCTCGAAAAGAAATCCATGGAAATTTTTGCCATTTCTTGGATTCCAGAGAAACTAAAATTAAGACAAGGGGAGAGAAATATTCTCTAATTCAAAGCAAAAGCATAATGAAGATTATCTATTCCCAGAATTCATTTCTACCTTGATCTCCCCCAAAACCCCTCTCTTGTGGTCTAAGCCATATATCTAGAACTTCTATGTACCACCTGAGATAGTTTTGTTTGTTTTGTTTTGTTTTGTTTTTGATCTTTCCCCTGTGATCTCCCAGAGCAGGCTGCAAGCTTTCTAAAGGCAGGGATGGTATAACCTTACCCCTACAGTACTAGCCTATGGCGATGCATTGACTATCAATTCCTGTGGAACCATAGTTGATAGACTTAATGGAGAGTCATGGGGGAACAACTGAATCTTTAAGAGTCCGCTTCGTGCAGCAGACTCCTAGGTAGCTGATTAACTGGAAAAGCAAAATGGCACTCGGGCATTTCAATCATCAGTGCAGATACTTTACACTGACAGGTCGAATCCAATAAAATAAACAGAAAAACAACAAATTTTTAAAAATTGCTTCATCCTTCAAGCCATAGTACTCAGTGAGCAGCAACAAATTTGTTGATATGCAAACAAGGTACTTACACAAGCAAAAGTCATTATCAACTCATTAAACTGCCTGAATATATATTACATATTTGCAGAGGTTCTGCCTTATAAATCTATATGGGAATATTTATAGGAAATACAAAAAACCAAACACTAACCACAACCAAAAAAAAGGTAAAAATCCAGCAAAGATTCACGCTGTGAAGAAGGTTTGCACATTAAAAAGACTGGCAGGACCGAGTGCTTACAGGGCTCTGCTCAGCCTCAGGCAGTTGGAGCTACACCCACACATTATTAGTACTTGTTAAATGTTAGGTCATATTAATAATCCATGGGGCAGGGGGAGGCAGAATGCTTGCAATCATTTATAGGACAATTATGGTGACATTATATTAAAGGCAGTAAATAATTATGATTGCCACATGTGTTCGTTGATTCACAATGACAGGGTAGCCCGTGCTTATTTAAGCTTGATTGAACAGGAAGGCACCAAAGTCTTTTTTCTTTTTCTTCTTTTTTTTTTTTTTTCTGCTGGCAGAAGGAGCACTGCATGGAGGCCAGGCACCTCAGGTCCACTCTTAAATCCGCCTCTAATTAGCTATGGGACCTTGAGAAAAAGAAAATGTCTTTTCTTTGTGGTCAGTCTCTGCCTCTTCTGTAAAATGGGGTGGAGTTTTAAGTGATGGTGAGCAGCCGAAGTCCAAGGGCTGTCTGTGTTCACAATCAGATCCAGATTTCATTTCCAGGATGCAGATTAGAAAGCCACCTCTGTTTACTACTTCTCAACTCTGTTCCCAATTTCTCATAAACATTCTTTTATGTTATAACATAAGTGGCTAAGATTTAAGAACATAGATTATTTCCCCATGGGATTTAATTTTGAATAGAAAACAAATGCTGCCGATAAATCTCTTTCTTATTTTTCTTCAATTGACCCTACTGAAAAAAAAAATTCTGACCTCTGAATCAAATAATTCCTAAGGTCTCTTCCATCCCTAAAATTCTCTGGTCTTCTAAAACTGGTTATTTACCTTTTATTCACTTTACAAACACTTATTGAGCATTTACTATGTGCTAGGCACTTAGAGAGTCATCAGGGGACAAGACAGACTAAGCCTCCCGGCCTCATGGAGATTCCATTCGAGCAGGAGGAAGAGACACACGTTGTTGGATAACCTGTCAAGGCAGGCTTTGCTGAGAAGTCCGATGTGAGCAAAAAATCAGGAGATGAGGGAGCTGGCTGTGTAGACGTGTGTGCGAAGAGCAAAGTTTCCAAGGCATGGGGGCAAAGATGGCTGGAATGAAAAAGAGAAAAGTATAAACTTGAAGTATCATGCCCCTGGGCCAGGGAAATGAAGTCGTTTGGTACTGAGGAGTTCTCCAGGCTGGGCTACAGCCAGTGTGTATCTCGTGAGTTCTCTCAGGAGTACCCTCTGGGAAGATGAGGGGTCTGGCTGACAGCCAAAGAAGGGTATTTAAAATTTGGATCCATAAAACTATCAGTAAGTGAAATGGGCAAAATAAGACATGATTGATGATCTCTCTTGGAGAGTAGAATACGGCATTAGGGGTCTGGGAAGTATTTATTTTCACAGTTTTCCCTCAGTACCATGGCAGACATTTTATTATATCCCCGTGATGCACTGCTTTTCTTGCTACATGATGAAGACAGATATTTTACAGTAAAGGACAGGAGAAAGAAAGACCAAACACTGTTGGTTGAGCTTTCTGTGGGCTAGGTCATGTTACCTTGGATATCTTTTGGGTTTTATTTTGCAACGTCCTATCCATCCATGAAGGCAACCGGCTCCCAGGAGAGAAAGTTCAAAACAGTCTACACAGCTTGTGAAGGCGGGCACTCTGGGTTTGTTAGCAAGGATTCTATGACCTGGCAAACCCTCTTGCACCTGGCACAGCTCCCTGGCCCCACTGACCATATTCATTGCTAAAGCTTCCAGCTCTTAGGCCATGGTAATCTCCTCACTTCATCCTCTCAATAACCCTAACAGAGGGAGAGTGTCACTATTTTAACGACAAAGACCCTGGGGTTCAAAGGAGTCAAATATTTGTCCACACACAATACTATGACAGGACCAAGATTCTAACCCAGAAATCTATGTCTAGATTTCCACATGCCCTGCCAGCAATCCGCTCAATACATGTGTGTGTGCACACGCACACATACACACACATGCAACACTCCGGGACATTACACCTGCAGCCCATCCCTGGAGCATGAAAGATGTGATACGACCATAGACTTCTGGTCTTCCTCCATGAGGGCCCCTCTGTGAGGTGTGGCCAGCCTGGACTCCCGGCGTCTTAGCCGTGCCTGGGAGGCACCACCATCAGCCTCAGTGCAGTCTCTTATTCCTCTCTGGCATCTTCTAGATTCCATCTCTAGCCCCTTGCTGTGATGGGCGAGACTCTGGCTGCGGGTGGACACAGCTATAGGAATTGGGCATGACCCACAGCAACCCCCCACCATATCGGTTAGGGTAGGGGCTGCCCAGATGAAACTCAGCACCTCCCCCAACCCCCAGGAGGCCCTCTGGATTCTTGCCACACGTAGGAGCTTCTGCTCAAGTGAGAGAACTGTGCTGGGGTCAGGTTGAGGCTGGAC